GGGGGGGGGGGGGGTTGGGGTTAGGGTTTAGGGTTTAGGGTTTAGGGTTTAGGGTTTAGGGTTTAGGGTTTAGGGTTTAGGGTTTAGGGTTAGAACGGGGTTCCTTTTCAGGGGGTTCCTTCAAAAGGGCTCCTCTAAGGGTTACCATAAGGAAGAGACTTTGTGAGAACTGCCGGGGGGGCACTAAGAACTAGAATGGGGTTCCTTTTCAGTGAGTTCCTTTAAAAGGGCTCCTCTAAGGGTTGCCATAAGGGTTGCAGGAGGTTTAAGAATAAGGGCCGTACGAATTAGACTAAGGTTTCAAGGGTTCCTTTACAAGGGCTCCTCTAAGGGTTGCCATAAGGGTTGCAGGAGGGTTCAGAATACGGGCCGTAAGAATTAGACTAAGGTTTCAAAGGTTCCTTGTAGGGGTTCACTATATACACCCGCCTCACCCTGGCAGCCCGGTAATATGGGCCATAAAGGGCCCTCGCTAGTTAGAATAAGGTTTAGGGTTTAGGGTTTAGGATTTTTGAGGCTCTATTGCAGCTACAGCTTTCTGACAGAGGACTATAAGGGACATTAATATTACTCAAACTCCGAACCCAAGCTCTAAATGGGGCTTGGGGTTGAGGGTTTAGGTTTCAGGGCTTAGGGTTGACCTAAATCCCAAACTCCAAGACCGAAACTCGAGACCCTAAACCCTAAATCCACGATCGAAACCCAACACCTAACACCCTTAAGCCTAAAAAAAATCCAAACCTCGTCCCACAGAGCACGATACTGCTTCATTCAGGAACATACTTTACTGCGGACCCCCCCCCCCTCAATTCGGGGAACCACCGTTTCTCGAAGGGCCTAAACCGTAGGATGTGTGGGGCTTCTTGATCACAATTCCCCGTTAACCCAATTCCCCAAGAACCCAAAACCCCCCAAAACCCTATATAACTACTCGAAACCCGAAACCCTGCCACCTTATAACCAGCCCAAAACCCCGAGAAACACTGCTAGGACGCTGTGTAGAACCAAAGCTCTCTGGCTCTTCCCGCCTCTGACCAGCTCTGTAGCATTCCGGCGGGTCCTGCGGGAAGCGGCGCTACCGCCGAGGACTCGACACCGCCCCGGCCGCAGCAACCCGGTCTTAGGGTTTAGGGTTTAGGGTTTAGGGTTTAGGCTTCAGGATTTAGGGTTTAGTATCGCCTTTCGTCCTGATTTACCGATACCATGATCTAGAGATCTCCTACTGCTTCCCGGGGTTTCGGAATTCCTTAGATAGGGTTTACGGTTTAGGGTTTCGGGTTTATAGATAGCTTATAGGGATATCGGAATCCGTCATGGCAAGAAAAATCAAGGAATGATAAGAACGTCTGCTTCTGAGGGCTTGCAAGGCCAAGTTGCCCGGCACATCCTCGTCGTCAGCCATCTTTTTCATCATCTTGCGCTTCATTTCCGCCTTAGGAGTTATTAAGTTTAGGGTTTAGGGTTTAGGGTTTAGGGGTTTAGGGTTTAGGGTTTAGGGTTTAGGATTTATTAGGATTGATAGAGTGTTCGATTTGCTTTGTCGCTGGAAGGGATGGAACTCGTTCTGGGATCTGTAGGGCCTAGGGTCTGGGGTTGAATAGAGATCATATATCGGTTTGGGATGACAGGGTTGTGCTCAGGATACGTACATGCCCTAAACCCTAAACCCTAAACCCTAAACCCTAAACCCTAAACCCTAAGCCCTAAACCCCAAACCCTAAACCCTAACCCTAAACCCTAAACCCTAAACCCTCAACCCTAAAGTTTCAAGCCCCCTTTGAAGTTCATTGATTTCTACGCGGTATGTATCAGAGCCAAGCTCGAGAGAGCCAGGGGCCCGGGTGCATGAATGGGGGTTTAGGGTTCAGGGTTTAGGGTTTAGGGTTCAGGGTTTAGAGTTTAGGGTTTAGGGTTTAGGGTTTAGGGTTTAGGGTTTAGGGTTTAGGGTTGGACATTATCTAGGGGCCTTAATGATTAGAAAGGGGCCTTAATGGTTAGAATAAGGCCTTAATGATTAGAATAGGGCCTTAATGATTCCAATGGGGCCGTAATGATTAGAATAGGGCGGCTCGGGGGTATATTATATAATTATCATAATAGTTACAATAAGGAACCGCCCAAAAAACATGGTATTGGTAATTATTTAGGCCCCTAGATTAATCATTGCTAAGACCGCTGGACCAGCGGTCCAGCGAGAGATGATTTCGATTGTCTGAGCAAGTCAAGTCCCTGAATGGACACCCAAGCATTTCGGGTTTAGGGTATAGGGTTTAGGGTATTGGGTTTAGGGTTTAGGGTCACGCCATGCAGAGGAACTCCAGAAAACAGACGGTGAAGATGATTCCGTGTCAGCAAAAAACACCTCTTAAAGCGCCGAGGTAGAAATTCAACCCTGCCTGCTGCACCCTATGACGACAGCTGTTGAAGCTTGGTGTTTGGAAAGAGTCGAGCGTTCGCGGTTTTAGGGGTTTGGGGCTCACTTCCCTTGTATGTTAGGGGTCTGGGGCTCACTTCCCTTGTATGCAGTCGTGCCACAGCCGCTTCACGCTCGTCTGGAGCCGCTTCCCCTTGGAGCAACTTCTCCCGGACCTCCGACCCTGCAGGCAAAGGCGATACACACTCGCGCCAGCAGACACCCAGACACAGACCATGCACTTGACTCCCTAAACCCTATAAACCCTACAAGCCCTATAAGCCCTATAAAAAGCCCTATAAGCCCTATAAACCCTATACGCCCTATAAACCCTATAAACCCTATCAAAACCCTATCAAAATTTCATAAACCCAAAACCCTAAACCCTAAACCCTAAACCCTAAAACCCTAAACCCTAAGCCCTAAACCCCAAACCCTAAAAACCTTAAACCCTAAACCCCAAACCGTAAACCCTGAACCCCAAACCCCAACACCCTAAACCCTAAACCCCAAACCCAAAACCCAAAACCCTAAACCCCAAGAACCCAGGGACCCGTACCCTGCTTGGCCAACCCCTAAACCCTAAACCCCAAGACCCTCAGCCCTAAACCCCTGCCTGG